TTTTTTTTTTTTTTTTTTTTTTTTTTTTTTTTAGAAACTTAGCAAAGCAACAGAAACATATGAATGTAATCAAAAGATTAGTTGACTAATATTGCAACTACCGTAGGATACTCTCCAATTAAATAAACAGTTCATAAATAAGCTTCAAAGACCTTTATTCTTTTAATTTATCACCTCGTTTTGAGAAAAACCACTCTTCTTACTTTCCTCAACAGATATCCTCACTTCTTTGCTTCTACAGCTTTCAGACTCTAAAGGCTTGGGTTAAGAAGCCATTACAAAATGCACCGATCGTCATATTGACCTCGTTCATCACTTCCCTATCCTATCACCTCATAAAGTTTCCCAGTCCCTCCGGTGCTCAGCAACAGCTCAAGACCAGCAATATTTTCACTCTCACAGTAGTTGATCTATAGGTAAACTGTTAAGATTTTTCATCAAAAATAAAAAACGAAATATTTTTTTTTTCTTTGCAGAAATTAACTAATTTTCTTTAAGAAAAAAAAAAGGTACATCTGCTCTTTTTTTTTTTTTCTTTGAATAAACTGTAAAATCGCTATAATATAACAGATTGAACAGCAAACTTATTTTTTACCTATAAAGAAGTGTTAAGGGTAAATTTTGGTTGAAAAAAAAAAAGTTTAGATATAATGTGGAAGATAGAAGAATTTAGTAGAAAACAAATGTTATACCTTTATGCTACACATATGTTTGGTACAAATTTAACGATGAAATAACAAATGCTTTATAGCCATTTCTTTTTATATCTTTTTTTTCTGTACTCTTTGCTATTTAGAATTTATATGCTTGTTTTCTATTTTATTCTTTTATCGGGGGGTTTTTTTTAAAATAAATTTTTGGAAAAAGAACAGGAGAGTTGGAGATGAAAACCAAATAGTAGAAAAAGAAGAAGAAAAAGATTAGGATGCACATTTTTTTGAACAACTTTGTACTAAACTTAATCACGTGAATTTCTTCTTAAAACATATTAACAGTTCATTACCGTCTGGTCATTCGTCATCAGCTATACACACATACGAATGTATCTGATGATAAGTATCTGCAGCACAAAAAGAACACTTTTTATCATTGGCATTCAAAAAACGGCTATTATCAGTGTTAAACATTTGGTACTTTTTTTGCCCTATACTGCTGTTGTTTAATGTGCACCGTTTCTTAACAATTTAAATTCTGATCAAACAGATTTTATACTTTTGTTTTTTTTTTTTTTCATTTCATTTGTTTTAACTCAACAAAATTTGATCATTTTTAAACACTCTTTTAGCTTTATTTTACCGACCTCACCTTTTCTTACGGTACAGCAGTTTTTATCTTCTTCCGTTTTCTCCCTTTTCGCTATAGCAGCTGAACAGTTTTAAAAAAAGTGTAAACGTTAACGAACGTCTCAGGGAAAAAAAAAGGGGAAAAGTATAAGATGTAAAAAAGCAGTGATAAAAAAGAAATAAAAAACAACTAAATATCAGTTTGTATTTTGTTGTCTGTTGCAACAGTTGTATTTTATATGCTCAAAAACTGTATTGAAATGACCGCTGCGTAAAATTGTAGAAAAAGAAAAAAATTATTAGCTAAACTGATTTGTACAATTACTTGTTGATTATCAGATGTTGTCAACGTATTTCGGCCACATATCAGTCCACCAGAATCCAATTCTGATTCTGCAATACACCGTAAAATGTTTGCCCATTTTTCTTTAGTAAATAAATTTCTGTACTGTTGTTCGTTGACAACAGCTTCAAGTTGTTGATAAGTTTTTGCTGCAACAATTGCATTCTGCAAATGTACATCTTTGGTTATCAATTGCCTCCATCGCCCTGGAAAAGAAAAGAACAGCAGCTATAGGTTACTGAAAATAATATGCACAAATAAATGAAAGTATCAGTAAACAGAAGAATATAAAATCTTTCATTTTCTCCTGTTTTTTTTCTTTTTTTTTTTTAAACTTTAAACAATACATTAGTTTGTTGAAAAAAAACCTTTAAAAAATTGACAAATAACAGACATTTAATTATCTATTCAGATTTAACTTAAAAAAAAAACAAGTTAGAAGTAAGCAAAAACAAAAAAGCTGCAAAAACTATTACTTTTGCAAAACCATATTACTGAATTACTGTAAAAAAGTAAAAATCAAATTTGGAAAAACCTGTAAAACCTGTTATTTTTGTTTGCACTGTTAAACTAAAGTACAATTTTGATCGTTTTCAATGGCAGAGCCAAATAACCAACCTAGTTCTTGTTCAGTCAGTTTACGTGGACCAAAACCGCGTATCTTTTCCACACACCTGGCTAATCTGTTTACGTTTTGATAGTTGCACGATGTTTTTGCATACGAATCGTTTAAGCGTTCTAACAAAAATAATTACTTCAAAAATGTTCTAAATTAAATTTTGTTATTAAAAAAAAACAGCTGTCTTTATTCAATTTTCTGACAATTAAAATTTGAACAAAAAAAAAAAAATACAGCTATTTTAACAACAGTACCGTCGTCAACAGATTTTCTGATATCATCGCCAATAGCAGTTCTCATTTCAGCCGACCGATAAATTTCGGTTATTGATCGAACCTCAGCTAACTGACCACCAATCATATCACCAACATTATCGCGAATTGATGACGTTCGGTCTAAATCGTCCTTAAAACAACAGCATAAACCTTATATTTTTTTCATGTCATTAACAGCAATAATTTGTAGTCACTTTAAAGATGGTTTATAGCAGACAAAAAATTGTATAAAAAAGTAATAAAACAAAGAAAATTTTTTTTTTTTACTCGTCGATTTTTCATAATTCTGTTTCGCCATTCTGAATAACTTTGTGGAGTCTGTTTTGGCGATTGTGGTTGCTCAGAAAATGTCCGAGATTGGTCACTGAACTGTGCTGTACTTCTGGTTCTTCCATTTGACGATGATTCTGATCTAACTGATGACGATACAACCGATCCCGTAGGACTGGTGTTTACACTTTGGCATAGTGTTAATGGAGCACTGCAAAAATATTGTTGAAATATTTTAAAAAAAATTTTTCTTTTTGTTACTTTAATTACCTAAACTACAGTCGTCTGTATCAGACTACAGATTTCAACGTACAGAATCAGTATAAAATTTTAAAAACGTTATTATTATTGAGGAAGAAAAGTGGAGGAAAAGAAAAACATACTTTATAAATGTTTAGTATATTTCTAATAATTCAGGTAATTTTTTATTTTTTTTTTTCTTCTAACTTTCTTAGATTAAAAACTGGCATTTACAGCAGTTAGCTAAAAACTTTAACTGATTATGTGGACCACTGAATGTAAGGAATAATACCGTTGAGTTGTAAAATCGCTGTTCAGTGCAACTCTTCCTTGTGCAGAATTTTTTGTTTCCCACCACGTTGGCGAAACCTCATAGGTACCATTGCCTAAAACGATTGATAATTGCTAAAACAATTTTTACAATTAAACAATTTTTTTCGAATTTCTTTTTCGTTTACAAATAAAAAAGGTAAAGATTATGCATAGTTTAAGTTGCTACTGTTCAAATGAACCGATTTGAACAGTTACAGACAGAATACTTGTTGACCATATTTGACACACTAATAATTGTTAAACAAAACAGAAAAACATTTAATTGATTGATTACCAATTTTTGGTTCTTCAACAACCTCAATTTTGTTAGACTTTTTTTTAACCTTAGCACATATAAAAATTAGTGCTAAACAGGTTAAAATAATAATCATTGGTGCTGCAATTGCTGCAACAGTGATCCATGATGTTCCTGTTCCGGGTGCTGTTACTGAAGATGCAGTTTGTTCGGCTTCTAATGCCGTAAATAAATTGCTCGGCGGTACAGAAGCTGTGGTTAATTTTTCACTAAAAAAAAAAAAAA